CTCAAAAAGAGTTTGAGAGACGACAGAGAGGCCTGGTGGACGCTACGTGCAAAGGAGATGGAATCAGCGGCTAGATGTGGAAACACCCGGCAACTATTCCAGCTCATCCGTGCNATAAGCAGCCTTCACCGACGATTGGAACGCTGGGCGGAGCACTTCACATCGCAGTTCAACCAGCCCCCCGCGCTGGCTGCCCCAAGCAGCTCTCTTGAAAGTGCACCCTGGCCACTGCCCACGGGACCGCCCACAGAAGCAGAGATCCGAAAGGAACTCCAAGCCCTGAAACGCCACAAGGTAGCTGGATCAGACGGCCTGCCACCTGCTCTCTTTAAAGATGGTGGCGATGCTCTCGTAAGCGAACTTGAGACTGTTCTCGAATATCTGGGGAACTGAAAGTGTACCCCACATATGAGGAGAATCGATTGTTACACCAATCTACAAGAAGGGCTGTCGCAACGCCTGTTCCAACCACAGGGACATAAGTCTGATTCCAATGGAGCCGAAGCTGCTAACGTCCGTTTTATTACGCAGGTTATGCCCATTCCATGAGAAGCAAATCCGCGAGGAGCAGGGCGGGTTTCGTGCACGCCATGGATGCATAGATCAAATCTTCACCCTCCGTCAGCTACTGGAACACCGCCATACATACAGACAACAAACCATTGCCGTGTTTTTAGACATCAGAGCGGCTTTCGACTATATCGATCGCCCCGCACTATGGAACCGTTTGCGGAGATACGGAGTACCCGAGAAGTATTTCTCACTCCTAAAAGCGCTCTATCACCAGACCTCGGGGAAGGTTAGGACCTATGGTGAATTTTCACCCTCATTTCCTATCACCAGTGGGGTACGACAGGTTTGCCCTATCTCTTCAACTTTACCATAGATGATGTCCTACAAAACGCGTTACATAACGCAGTGAACGCTGGCGTCAAGCTTCTTCCTGGGGACAGTCGTTGACTTAGAGTACGCCGATGATATTGCCTTACTGGGTGACAACGCACCAACGATTCAAGAGTCGTTGAACCGTTTGGCAATTGAGGTTACTCGTTATGGTATGTCATTTGCACCTTCAAAGTGCAAAGTGTTGTTGCAAGACTGGCAGGAACCCATCCCTGCACTTTCATTGGATAATGACACTCTGGACGTAGTCAAAAGCTTTGTATACCTTAGGAGTTGCATACCAGCTGGCGGAGGAGTGGGCGAGGAGGTTCGACAATCAGCAATCGCGCCACTGATAGCTATTCCGGGACATATCTATGAGCGTCTCCAACCATCGGCAATTCTCATCTCTTAGGCCACAGCTTGCTGGGCGAGCTGCATCTACCGAAGCGAATGCTGCGGCGAACCTCTTCATACCCTTATGCCATGTCATGGTGTAACCACCGCAGCGCTTTTTCCAGCCTTGTCCAGCACGTGCGAAGATAGCACGCAGAGCTAGACGATAGAGGCATCAAGGTATGGTGTGTGCTTTGCATCATCCAAGTAACAAGTGTATGTAGAAGATTGGCAGGAGCCTGTGCCTGCACTCAATTTCTGGTGATTAGATTAAAGTAGTTCGAGGAAGCATTCACCGAAGTTGCACAGATGAGAGCACACCAAAACCAACATTTACATCCCGGGCCATAATCATTCCACATTATTCCCAAGGCTTTTGACAACCCACACCAACTGTGGTGCCGCCTTGACATTCGACTTTTCCTTGAGGGAAGGGTGTACTTTGCCACGGTTGGTAACGTTCTGCTTTACGGTTACGAGACCTGGAGTCTCCGAGCAGAAAATGCTAATCGAATTCTGATGCTTTTGAAACATTGCTTGTCTGACGGGAACATCGTGTGAGCAATGCTAAGATTTTGCGTGGTTTGTTGGGTGACGATAGTAGCGTTTTAAGAGACGTAGGCGCTCTACATCGCCACCCGTCGCTCGGTACCGTTTTGTACAGGCCCGTCCATCATCTATCTCTCCGTGATCTCTTTGCACGTGTTCGGTGAGGCTGGAAACGTCGCGGAGACCGGATAATGACCTGGTGTAGACGTATGAACAAGTTAGTCTCAGCATTGACTTCAGGTGGTGCGGCTCGCCCCCCTCCCCCAGGCTGGGACCCAAGTGATGACCACTGTCAACGGCTGGAGACGACGAGATATATGGCTGAGTACAAGCATCAGTGGCGCGATTATTATGCGGTTTGTTGGTTAAAATCCCGTTCCCCTTAATATACGAAAAAATGAAAATAAGTGTGGTGCAACAAACAAGATAAATTTGTAGAGTTGTTCCTGTGTTTCTCCGTTAGCTATTTTCCTTCGTGTTCACTTCACTTAGCTTTACACTCATAATCATCATCATCACTGTACAGCGTAATACAGCGAAGCAAACTTCACTGATTGCTGGCAAATTCATAATGTATACGACGTCAGTGAGGGTAATGAGGACGGGTAGGGTTTATTTTTAGGGACGGGAAAATGAACCTCTAGGGTCAACACACAGAGTACAAACTTTTTTAAGCATTCTGGTTTGATAAATGACAAGAACGCCATTGCTGTTGGTCTCGTCATGCCTTTTAGTGCCTCCAACCATCCAGTTAAGGAGAGAGACACCTAATCTACCTAATCGCTTTGTGCATTTCTTTATGCTTCGTCTCCACATCATCTGCTGGCCTCAACGTGGCTTTCTCCATCCTGTAACAGCCATTGCAAACAAGGCGCGGTGCGCTAGGCGACCGTTAGACATACGCAAAACTTTTCCTAAATAACGAAGCCGATTGAGCTGGAATCGATGCGATAGCGAGTTCGTGCTTGATGCAATCCCAAACACCCGACGACTTACTTATAAGTTACTAACCTGATCACTCCATCCAACCTGGGACAGACTGCGTAAGCATCGATTGTCCAACACTGCTAAACGACGGATGTCTTCTACCAGCAAATTCAAGGTATCACAACCGTAAAGTAGGACTGATCGTACAGCGGCGTAGTATACGCGACTTTTCAACTTTAGTGCAACGTCACATCGCCGCCGCAGGTTTTTAAATCCTGCGTACGCTGCTCGAGCCTTGGAAATACGGGCGATTATCTCCTTTGATGAGCTACCATCTTTGATCACGCATCTACCTAAGTAACAGAAGCAGTCAACTTCAGCTAATTCCTGACCGTCTAGTTTCAAAACAGAACTCGACGACACTGTATTGCAGTATTATTGTGCACTCTGACGGTGCAAAGCGCATGTCTAACGGAGATACAGAACTTGCTAGTCCGTCAAGTGCTCATTGTGCATCTTCCGTACATTCGAACAGGCAAGCGATGTCGTCAGCGTACTCCAAATCGCACAGCTTTTCTCTAGCTGTTCATTTAAGACCAACACTTAGGTGACCACTAAGTGCGTTCTCCAGTATTTCGTCTATGACGAAATTGAACAGGAATGACGAGAGAAGGCACCGTACTCAACTCGCCGTAAACCCGTACACTACCAGAAGTATGCGGCTAGGGTGACCTCAGTATGTTCATATACTTGTGCGGCATTCCCTTGAGAAGGAGCGAACCCATAAGGGATGCGAGGTCAACTGAATCGAAGGGTTCTTTTAGGTCGATGAACACGACAACCGTCGGTTGACGATGCTTATGGTGTAGCCCGAGGACTTGACACAAGGTGGAGATTTGATCGATCCAACTGCGACCTGGTAGGAAATTGCTTGTTGTTCGCGGATATTTGTCTTCCTAAACGGTCAAAGTATGATGGAGGCTAGTAACTTCGTGACGATTGGAATAAAACTTATTCCACGGTGGTTTGCGCAGTAATTGCGAGATCCCTTCCTAAAAATTGGAACGATCAGTGATTCGCTCCAGGATGATAGAATGCGCTCGTGTGGCCAGATGTTACACATTAAACCAGTAATGGAGTCTAGGAGGTCATCGCCCCTCCCCCCATCTTAAAATGAGTGGGAAGAATCCTGTCAGATCCCAATGCTTTTCCTTTTTCTGGGCTTAGATGAAAAATCGTCCTTCTGATCTAGTAGAGGTTCACATTACACTGCCGACGGAGCCTCAACTACATCAGATCAGATGGTGGTTAGTGCCTGGCCAAATGAACTGTTCGTTTAAGTACTTCGCTCACTGGGCAGCCGTTGCTCCCTACTGTGAGTACCTTGTCCACTTTTGTCGCAGATTGTTTCATTAACTGTGGTTCGCCGACCTCCCATATTGCGTATCGGCTGGAACAGTATCTGACTATTCTCTGATGCAGCTGCGACTTCCATTTCACTAGCTATCGTTGCCCACTATTTATCACGGTCTGTCCTGAGGCTCTTTGTGAGCTTACGTTGCAGATGCCATCTACTCCTGTTTTGATCCCGGGCGGTCGGGATTTCCCGCTTTTTCTCCATCAGTGCTACTGACTCATCAGATATCCAATGCCTCGCGCGGGTTACCGCTTCAAACCCTCGTCGCGGGGTCTATTATTTGTCTGCACTACCACCCTGCAGCGCGTTTAGATCTTACCCTAGTTCTGATTTAAAGAGCGCACGGACGGCTGGGTTAGATAAGTGACGATCTTCCAAACGAGTTTGGTGGATTTTTCGGTGACCAGTGAGTTGAATTGCATCAAAACTAATGTGTATTCAGATTCAACGCAATAGGGCCTGCAGTTTTGTGCTGAGCCACGCTAGCGGTAGCTTACTGCTAAGTGGTCGATTAGAGTTAGCGTACCAGTTGAAATGGAACGCCACGTTGCTGTCCGTTGAGAGCTATGTTGGAAGTTAGTACTGGATAGGAACACATGGTATGCGCTCTAAGGAGAAGAAAGATAAACCCATTTACTTGGATCGATCCTCTATCATTTTACCAATTTAGACGCTAACTAGAGTCGACCCCCAACCAGGAGACTGGAATTTATCTGACCAATACCCTCTGATCTCTCAGGTCTGATAAGATCCCCCGGCTTGATAAAAGTCATCTTGTGTGGCTCGTTGGATCATAGAGGTGCATAAGCAATCGCAGCACGAAAAGGTGCATTCTCTTCGTGATATGTTCAGTGCGTTGTTCGCTGGTGCGTTGATTATCTGTCCATCGCTCCGGATCGGCCCTCGGTTTCATATGCTAAATGGGACAGACGAAACATGGATGGGGCGAAAACTCACTGGCAGAGGCTGATTAGCCTTGTTAGTACGTCTGTTTATGCGATGAACAGAAAACGCGGAGAACCCTATAAACGCGAAGACCTGGTGTTCAAGGATGGAAACCCGCAACCTAAGCCCGAGGACCTGGAGGGGTGAACTACATAACGGCCCGCGTGGTACTGAACTGAGCGATAACTGTCCAGCGAAGTCCGAAATCTTCACCCACCGTCGTGAGAAATCCCCGAGCACCCCGTCCCTGAATCCATCTAGCAGGATTTTTTGACCAATGAACAGCTCCTCTCCGTGTTTGTTTGTAGGAGTGGTCTCTCCAAAGGCGTGAACGTCATTCAACGAAGTGATAGCGAAGCTGCTAATGAAATAAATGAAACTGGGTCTAGTGACTTAGGGTATCAAGTTAATAGAAAATGATACTTACGTATAGAATTCTCCTTCATCAGTTGGAATCTCCAATTGATCGGAATAGGTGGTAAAAAATGGTAGACCAATAAATGCATATCCATTGGTCAATATAGACCCGATCGATGCTGACTGATCAGGCGCGATTAAGAATACATCCAACTTTGCCTTTTGCTCGTCTGACAGGTCAAACTGACTGCATACCTAACTAAGCAATGTGTCACCAATCCAGTTCCGGATGTTGCATACTTACCGTGTCAGTAAGTTCACGAATGCGTTTCGAGGGTCGAAGTTCCCGACCTTCACGTGTTTTGATCAGCGCCCATCGAAGAAACACCTCGTAGTACGGCTGCATAGCATAAGCAAAACCAATCCCGGACACACTTGTCAACAAAGCTAACTTTTGTGAATGTTTCGCAAAAAACAGCGAAAGCTTGGGAAACGCCATGTTGAAAATTAAAGGGAACAGAAGGCATTGACGGCGAATAGAAATATTGAATAACCGCCGGTTTTAGTATTCGTCTTCATAAGCTAGAGAAGGCAAAAGTCGCGAGATTATAAACCATGATCGGGAGAAAGAAAACACCATTAACATCATCGTACAGCATAATACAGTGAAACCAAATTCACTTATTATTGTCAAGCTCAGAATGCACACAAAGTGTGCGGTAATGTTTAAGATGGATGGCATTGGATCTATTTTGAAGGGAAAAGTGAAGCTATATGGTCATAACGCAGAGTACGCAATCTAAATGTGCATACATCGCTTTTAGGGCATTCTGGCCTGATAAGAAGTGGCAACAATAACTCTACTGCTACCGGTTTCCTCCCAAGTGATTCAGTCTCCAACCGATTAGCTGTAGAGACCTTTGGTCTCCATGCTGGTAGACGAAGGCATGCAATCTAGTCAATCGCCCTGAACATTTCCTCATGCCTTGTCTCCAAGTCATCTGTTGATCTCCGAGTATTTACTTCCAGTCTGAAGCGGTAACTATAAATAAGGCACAGTGTGGAAGACGAGAGCTGGGCATGTGCAAAATGTGCCCTGAGGAACGAAGTCTATCCATTCGAATTTGACAAGATAGAGAAGTAATTCCTGATAAATTCCCAAACACACGACGACTTAGATCTGGCTTATTAACCAGCTCACCCCATTCAACCCGCAGTAAACTACGTAAGTCTCTGCACCGTAGAACAGGACTTCCGAACTGCCGCAGTATATACTCGATCCTTTACAGACAGCCGGATGTCGCGACTGTGCCACAGATATCTGAAGTTCGGAAATACCAATCGTGCCGACAATTCATCTGTGATACGTCCACCAGGTGAGATATAGCGGCCCAACTAACCAAACGTATCTATGGTCTCTACCATCTCAGTTAGAATTAGGCTGACAGCTTACTCACTATTAATTTTGATCGACTAACTCCTGCGGGAGGGTAAGTCGGCTTCTTGGGTGCCGGTAATGATGGCGGTCCATGCATGACGATCGGTAGCAAGGTCGACGCAGTGTGAAACCCAGTTCTGGTTCGTTACGAAGTCTATGTACGGATCGGAAGCCCAGTAATTCCAAATCCGCCTTGATCGTACTGCTCCAGGTTTTTATTTGACCACCGAGTCGGCAACGCCATCCACGGCACGGTGCGGGGGCCTGTCGCGAGAGTTGAGTGTCAGGCCTTCGGAGCACATGGCTAAACCACTGAAGGCGCCGTCGTTGTAGCATTATTGAAAGCTCGTCAATGTTCAAGCAGTGCCGTCGAACCTCATCCTTGG